GCGGGGAGGACCCTGTGCGGGCGGCTCCCGCCTCCTCCTCTTCCTCCTCCTCCTCTTCCTCCTCCTCCTCCCTCTACTTCAATTATTCATTCTTCTTGGCGCCGCACCGCCCTTCCCCCATCTGCCCAGGCTGTGGCCGGATGGGGACAGCCCCCTTGGGAAGGGACACGGAGCAAGGGGGTGGGGAGAGCATCCCAGGTCACCCTTCCTCTGACTCCTAGGAGCCGCGGGGCTCCAACCGCAAGCTTCTCTCTCTCGCCTCCCCTGGACTCCACTTCCTTCTATATTGGCCCCCTCCCGGTCCTCTCCTCTTCATTTATCTCCTGGGTCTGCAGGGTTTTGGGGGTCAGGGTCTGGGAATGAAGGGGCTGAGGGAACAGCAGCTTGGGCGCCCCGCCCCCCACAGCCCTTTAGCAATCACTCCATGCTAACGAGCCACTTCCTAGTTTCCTGAGTGTTCACTTATTGTTCCATCCTTTCCTTTGATCTTGAGAGGTCCCTTTTCTTATTGTCTTCCTTTTGAAGCTGAGAAAACTGCAGCTCTGAGAGTTGCCGTCTCTTCCTCACTCTCCTTTTCCCTCCCTCGGGGACTGCTTTCATATGGCCACAGCCCTAATAGAGGAGGAGGAGGGAAGAGGGCAACACGCAGAGGGAAAGGCAAGGGAGGGGACATCAGGGGAAGGAAAGAGAAAGTGCTGGGGTCCAGGATTGGAGGGCACGTTTTCCAGCAAGTCTGGACCAGGGATCCAGGGGGGGGTGCAAAGATGGGAAAGATGAGGTTGAAGAGTTCTGAGGGATGAGGTCCTGAAGGGCCCATAGGCAGCTTTATCCAGCAGGCACTGGGGGAACCACTGCAGGGTTCCAACAGGCAAATGATGTGGTCGTGTCAGGATTTAAAAAGAAGACCCATCAGCCAAAGTAGAGAATTGATTACAGCCAAGTGTCCTGGGTCTGGAGAGATTTTCATAGTGATCAGAGAAGAGGTGGGGTCCTTCCCATGTCTTGTTTATCCCAACCCCCCATCCCTCCCTCCCCCATCTCTCCCACCTAGCTTTGATTGAACATCCTAGGGCATTTATTATACAAACCCATATCCTAGTCTCTCTTTGCCAGGCACTGTTCTAAGCACTGTACAACTACAAACTCATTTTCTTTCCACAATTTATGAAGTACTTTACATTCCCCCTTCCTAACACAAATGAAGAAAGAAGTGAATTTGCTCAAAGTCACACAGAAAGTACTAGAGCCAAATTCAAGCCCATTGTTCAGCTCCAGAATAAGCTTTGCTATTTCTCAGGGGGAAGGAGTAGAGAAGGAGGAAAAGCGGGAGGAGGGTGTGGGATGTGGGGGTGGAAGGACCACCCTGCCTCAGAGTGGCAGGGAAGGAAAGATGAAAGGCAACAGCTGCCCTGGGTCAGGAAGAAGTAGTCCTCTGCAGTCCTGCAGCCTGGCGTTGCTTTTGTCTCTGGAGACTGTTTTGGTCTTGATAATACTTAGGTTGGGGTACCAGCTGTTGCCCAAAGCTAAAAACAGAGCAGGAAGAGTTAGGGGTTAAGGGAACTTTCCAGGCTGGATTCAAGGCTGACAGCCGTGTTTACACTAGTTGGGGTGTTTGTTGGTTGGGCTGGAAGATCTGAATTCCAATGTGGCTTAGAAAGAACCATCTCTGCCTTTTTTGTCTCCTACAATACTAGACTGGGAGGCTTGTTGGAGAGTTCCAATCTTTTATAGCTGCCCTCCTGAGCTAAAAGTTTTTTTAAAATATTTATTTTTTAGGTGTAGATGGACACATCACAATGCCTTTATTTTTTTATGTGGTGCTGAGGATCGAACCTGGGTCCCACCTGTGATAGGTGATCGGTCTACCGCTGAGCCACAATCCCAGCCCCAAGCTAAAAGTTTTAAGCCACCTAACTAGCCCTTGACTGGCCGAATGGCACACCTACAAATTCTAATGATGAAACCACCCCAGTCATACCCTGTGAAACCAAAACCCCTCTGTAACTGATGGCCATTTTCACATCCAGAAAATGAGTCCCCATGGCCCCCGAGTCCAAGAAGAACAATAAACAGCTTCCCTGAATCTGTTGAGGTCTGTACCTCTACCTCCCATGCCTCCCTGTATCCCAGGATCAGCCTATTCAAACAGGCAATAGAAGACAGGTTTTTAGGTCTGATACTCTGAAGCCAGAAAATGTGGGTTTGAAATCTGTCTGATCATGGCTCCGTGACTTGGGGCAAGTTACTGAATTTCTCTTAGTCTCACAGAAATGTAAAATGATAACTAGTGCCTTCCTCCTACGCCTGTGCTGAGGATAGTGGGAAAGATTAAATGGGGTGATTCCTCCCACAGGAAGTCCTCCTGAATCACCAGCTGTGCCCTACTCCCTATCCCTCATGAAGTCTCCCTGACACTTTCCTGCTGAGTTTCCATACATCTTTGTCTTTTCCTTCTTAACCTCAGCCCATTGGCAATTTATCTTTTAGTGTTTGTTTTTATATTTTATGCTCACAATTTTCTGGGAATTCCATGAGAGTTGGTATAATTAATGTATTTCTTTCTGCCAAATCTCCTAGTGCTCCATATAAGGGCAACATGATGGGTGCAGACCTTAACAGATTCAGGGAAGCCCGTTTATTGTTCTTCTTGGACTTGGGGGCCATGGGGACTCATTTCTGGATGTGAAAATGGCCATCAGTTACAGAGTGGATTTGGTTTATAGGGTACAACTGGGGTGGTTTCATCATTGGAAGTTGTGGGTGTGCCGTTCGGACAGTCAGGGGCTGGTTAGGTAGGGTAAAACAGCAACTTGTTTAAAACAAGTTGTAAAACAGCAACTCTTTTACAGGAGGGCAGCTGTGAAAGGTGGAAACTCTTTGTTACTTGGAGAGATCGGAGTCCAGATGGTGAGAAATGGGTATTTCTTTTTCTGGAATTTATTGTCTCCCAGAGTTTCAGTATTTGTCTCCTTCTTTCGGGGTCCATTGTGATCAGGAAAGGATATCCTGGAAGGTTAATGCTTGGCTAGTTTCCTTTCCCTTCTCCTGAGCTTCGCTGTCTCTCCGCTTTCCTTTGGAGGCTATTTTGTAGTGAACTTATTTTCCATAACTCTTCACCCAATACTGTGTGGCACTCAGGTATTCTATAAAGATCATTGAATGAATTAATAAATGAGTGAGTAATTGACTCTATGAAATAGGTTTCATTGTCCCGCCCCCTTCATTTATTGATTTATTTATTTAAGTATGGGAGATGAAACTCAGGGTTGCTGTACCACTGAGCGACATCCCTGGTACTTTTTATTTTTCATTTTAAAACAGGATCTCACTCAGTTACTTAGGGTCTCACTGACTTTGAACATGTGCTCTTCCTGCCTCAGCCTCCTGAGTTGATGGGATTAGAGGTGTGTACCACGGTGCCTGGTGTTAGTTCCCCCATTTTGTAAAGATAACTTAGTCATACAGGGCAGTGACTTGCAGAGTGACTAAGCCCTTCTGAATGTCAGCGGCTGTACTAAGAACTTTACTGATAGTACCACTTGTTACCCTCAAACTGAAGGATATGGAAAAAAAAAAAAGTCCAAGGACATTTCCCCTAAGCTTTTTTTTTAAAATTTTTTTATTAGTTGTTGTTGGACCTTTGTTTATTTTTATGTGGTGCTGAGAATCGAACCCAGTGCCTCACACATGCTAGGCAAGTGCTCTACCACTTTTGTGGTACATAAACCATCCAGTTTGGGGGTGGAAACTGACCCCAGTATAGTACTGTCACAAGGCCATTTGTCAGGAAGTAGCAAAGTTGGCATTCAGGAACTTGATGCTAGAGTTCAGGTGACTAGAAGAAATGATAGAGAGGACGGATTTGGGGGGCTCTGGATGGGTGTGGCCCACCTGTCAGGAGTATTAGGGGGACTCTGCCTTGGAGGGAGTGGCCCACAAGCTCAGAGATTCTGACTGGGATCTAAGGGGACACACAGGGGTGTTCCAGTGGTGGGAGGTGGGGATTGGGCCAAGGCTCTGCTGTGGGGCTGAGCCAAATACACTGAAGAGCTGAGAGAGGCTGTGTGCCAGCGCGAAGGGAGACTGTGGGCCACAGCTGGTCAGAACTGAGTAGGCCCTTAGTTCCTCGTCCAGCTCCCTAAGCCCCTCTCATTTTGCAGGTGGAGACACTGAGGCCCTGAGAGTTCTATATTTGTGAGCGGCAGAGGCAAATCTGGGAGTTTTCCCTAGTTGCCAAGGGCATGGTCTCTGGGCTACGTTAGGAATCACTCTTAGGAACAGCTCTCATAGCCTTTCTTACTCACCCTGGCTTTGGGATCCTGTTGAGGGTTCAGTTCTCGCCTACTGCACCCTCTGCTTGGAATAATTACTAATAATTTCCC